CCAAGAGTTCAGATTTACGACTATTGTCTTGCGTTTTGTAATAAGTAGTTCTCATTACCTGTGATCTTGACGAGTGAAAAGATAGTTTGAAAAGGTTTCAGCTGTCGTTGGTAAGTGAAATCAGCAGTCGGTGCGTGCGCTTCAGTGATATTTCTATCACTATTAGCTGCTCACTGTTATCATATTATTGACCACTGACTCAATTACTTGCACTCTTTACTATAGGTATTTCGTATTTTGTGGAACTTAATTGTAGGGATTACATTTTTTACCTACGCTCCTTGCCGATAAAGATGATCTATATGCACGTGAACCGGCATATCGGGTTATCCTTTATATTTCTGCTTTAAATGCGGGAACTGTTTTGAGTAAGGCTGTGAGTAACGGAAGTGTAATTACATTACAATCTTGGTATCTCTTGGACTTCATTTTAGTGAGCCATGTTTTTTTCTAATAATTACGTAGAAGTCTTTTATTGTTTTTGTATAGGGACTAGAGTACTGTACATAGTAATCGAGAAACCGAGTGACAGTGAAAGTCACGAGATAGTGGAGGTGTTACACTCAATAAAAGAAACGCTTACGTGGTTTCAGTGACCATCATATAAACTTGAGCGCTAAAGTAGTCGGAATGAGGTTTTTGGGCAACAGTCTTGCGTGGATGGCAGACACAGTTGATAGTCTGGGAGACAGACGGAGCTGGCCAGTAGTCGGAAGGAGGTGTTATGCTCGGGCACGACGAGATGGACGAGTGGGGAGAGGGTGCAAGGATGTATCGATCAGAGATGCGCACACGCAAGGCTTGCCTTGCCAGCCACCTCGGCGCTTAGCGGCCAGATGCTAAAAAAATATTGAGGTGTTTGTAAATTCATTGATGTTGATTTTATATCAAAAGTCACGAGGTGGTCATTGAATTTAAAAACCGTTTTACGGTAACTGACATTTTCCGTAGAGTCGTACTTACATTCTCGAAAATTATTATTGTTCCCAAAAAGTCAATTTTTTCAACCACTCATCAACGGCTTTGTTTGGAAATCGAAATCCTTTTCTTATTTTACATTACAATAATTATGTTTCATTATGGTATTTAGTTAAAAACATTATACGTTGCTTGATAATAACGATATAGAATCATCGTGTTGCATTGTTTCGAGCATAAGACCGCATCTTAATCATTTCCGTATGAAATTTCATATAGGTCCATTCAAAATACAATTATTTACTAATTGATTAATTGCCGAAGGTCCAATTTTGGTTGTTCATAGCACGTTCTCTTCGTTCTTCTGAGCCTTAGTAACTTCGGTCACTTTTATTTAAATTTAATGGAACATTTTACATGCATTGTATCTCATTATCTCATTACTTTTGGGCCCTCAATACCTTTAGTCCCTGGTACTCTAGTACGAGTCCTTTCCCCACCCTAATATCTGTAGGACCTTGTTACCTATAGGCCGTAGTACATTCTGTATCTTAATATATATTTTATATTATTACCCAAGTTCTTTGTACCTTTTTTCAGTCAGTAATTATAGTATGGTACGTTGTACGTCTTTTAGGGCTTTACTATAGGGCACTTGTCCACTCGACAGCAAATGATCAAGTAGTCGATCCTGCGCTGGATGCTCTGAGCGTATATAGGTGTTCGTAAGAGGTAGCGAGCCTTAAGGTATTGTTTGCTACAGCCGTTTACGTAAAGCATTGTGTGCTCTGAGCATGTTGCGGTGGTCTTGAGACGTTGTGTGCTTTAGGGTACTGCTTGCTACGGTCGCCTACCATGAACTTGCGTTGTATGCGCAAAACGGGTAAAGGTAGTCGTAAGATGTGGCGAGCCTAAATGCATTACTAGCTACGGTTGTCTACGTAGAGTCGTAGACTCTGCGCTGTATGCTCCAAGCGGGTAAAGGTGGTCGTAAGATGTTGCGAGCCTAAATGTATTACTTGCTACGGTCGCCTACGTAGACACTGCGTTGTATGCTCCAAGCGGGTAAAGGTGTCCGTAAGATGTTGCGAGCCTAAATGTATTACTTGCTACGGTCGCCTACGTAGACACTGCGCTGTATGCTCCAAGCGGGTAACGGTGGTCGTAAGTTATTGCACGCTTTAGGGTATTGCTTATTGCTACAAAAAATAATATGTGTGGAATAAGCTCGTTAAGTGACACGGAAGTGTGTAGGTACGTTGTAGGACACATGTATCTAGCTTTTCCTGTGAGAAACACGCAACGAGCGTTTTCGGAGAGGAGTACACGTAACAAGTGTATTTGTTGAGGGACAAATGCAGGTATCAATCGTTTCAAGTGCAGCATCAATTCCTGACTCACCTGATATGTGATGGTCGATTATACTCACTAATTCGGGAGTTTTGTGTTGCTGCAGCGTCTTGTGTTGCTGCAGCGTCTTGTGTTGCTGCAGCGTGTAGTGTTGCTGCAGCGTCTTGTGTTGCTGCAGCGTCTTGTGTTGCTGCAGCGTCCTGTGTTGCTGCAGCGTCTTGTGTTGCTGCAGCGTACGTGTAGTGTTGCTGCAGCGTCTGATGCTACCCTTTCATTAGTCTAAAATCTAAATGAAGCTGTTTCAAGCTATGCTAAGCCTATAGAATGTAATTTAATGGCCATATACGAGCATTGTATGTTATTCTCATTACTTATCATCATCTTCGATGAGTTTTGAACTATTTGAGTCATATTTTTTTGGTTATAACGGAGATTTACAGCCGGGGCAGAAGACAATTGTAATACCCAAAATTTAAGTAAAATTCAAGTGGAATTAAATTGACTACATTCAACCATTTTTCTTTCAGTTGCCGCCGATTTGCAGACTGACCAATATTTTTATGAGAGGGCAACATTCATATCCTTGCATATGCCTCTGTGCTAATAAGTTATTGAGTGGTCGAAACCAATCCAAGTTAATGCAATTATCCATCAATTTACATGCGGATATATTGAATTTCTATTGCAATTAACGGTGGTCGTTAATTCATGTTACGAACGAAAATCTTTTGCGGTGCGCCCGCGCGGTCAGTGTTTTTTGAGCACTCCATATCCTTTGATTTTAGTTCACCTTTCAACCAGTATTTCGATATCTTTTGAGTTAATAACCTATTCAATATTTATAGCTCACCTTACTCGGCTGCTACTTTTTACCGCTTATTTCCGATCTCAGTTCTGAAATTTAATTGATATGATATCACTTTGACTTAACTGATTACGGACATTGAAAATATTTTTTGGAGGAACTGTAGTGATACAAAAATGTCATTGACCATCTGTAATTATTGTTCAATGCTGTTGTGCTGCTGTAACTAAAATGCTTTATCAAACCTAAGTTTAGCTTACTCGTATATTTTTTTCTATATAGTTACATAGAATACATACCTTAGGGTGATGAGATTTAATAATTCGTAACAAGCGTTAGGTAATTCGCTTAATGAAGCACTATAAAATGCTTCCTATGTAGTTCCGTGCAAATTTTGTACTGCTTTTAACATTTAAACGAAAGAAAATTATCTCATTTAGCCATTGTCAATTCAAAAATTAAATCTAAATTTTAATTTTAAAAATATAGATAAAACTAATAAAATTAAAATATTTCCTTCAATTATTATTTTTTGCAGCAATAATATTATTTAAATTTTACATGTTCAATTCTGTAAGAGTTGTACAGCATATTTTAACTTGTAATTAATCGTTACGCCGAATATTACTCGCTACACGATCACTGATTATACCAACAGCATTACAATACTTAGGGGGAAACTTTATTTCCCAAGCCCAGTATCTCATCCGGCGGCTCAAATGCCATCGGTCGCAGCATTGCAGGTGTGGGCGAAGAAGAGAAGCTCAAGTGCACCACAGCGTGGATACGCGGGCGATCGTCTGCCTCGCGCGCTCTTTGCCATGCCTCCTTTTCCTGTGCCGATGAATCTACAGCTCTCTACCTAACTTGCTGCTTGAGAAAAAAATTTGAAGTCATGAGATTCTCCTGAAGGTTTTGGTAATTTTTCAGTAGTTTCTATCGTGTCTAATTTTGTCATTTATCTTGCAGTTCATTTTGTTACTGTACTTTCTTATTTAAAAACTAAGCTTATTAAACAAATATTAGTTTTCAAAAATTACTGTACTGTACAGTTGTACTGAAACAAAAATCAAGGCCTTCAAACTTCTTTCATTTATTTTTTCTACAAAATGCTAGTAATAATAGGGATTGGCTCTGATGCAACTAAGTTTACATTTTATATATTTTCTCCTAGGTACGTAAACATGACGAGATGGTGTTGTGTAATTGAAACATTTGTAGTTCTAGATCCATTTATCATGCACAAACCAACTTAGTTCGTTGTTCACTTTTGTACTTTCAATTTTTTTGCAAATTAGTTGTTCATTTCTTCAGTGTTATGTATATGAATAGTGCACTTGTCGATTTAGTTACTAGGTAGTTGTCACACCCGTCATCTAAATATGTCTTATGATTTCAATTGTGGTTAACTACAAAACAAACAGCAATTATCTCATAACGCAACATAACATAGCGATGTCGGTGCTGAAAGGTAGGCCTGATGTGGCCTGTCGCCGATCAGAACATAGAAGAACGTCCGAGTAACGTTATAATAGATAAATAGTAAGTGCAGTTGTCGATTTACTTACAGGCCATCATACCCATTATTTAAATATGTTTTATGATTTCAATAATGATCAACAAGAAAACATGCTATCAACTCTTAGAAGAGCGTATGCGAATAATGTTTAGTAGTCTCGGGTTCAAGTCATTAGTGATTTACCTGCTATTTACATTTAAAGCAGCCATCATTGCTTTCTTTCTGTCAGGCCTTGAGTAACCATCGTATTTTCAATGTAGTCTTTGCAATTGCATTAAGTACAGTTGATATATTGACAAGCTTTGCGCAAAAATAGCTCGATCGAATTTTTAAAACAGTTTCCTTTCGAAATTTCCCATTTTCTAAACGAGGGTTTGCCGGTGGTGCGTTTCATAGTCCACTGTGCTGGTGAAAGAGAGACATCTCTGTGTGCGAATATATAATCGTTAATTGACGCTTTTATGCAGAGTTTTGGTGTTGTTTTATCATTTGAAATAATTTTTGCTACTTCATAGAATTTAAAAATGATAATTTCAGATCAAAATGTCTGTTGGTAAGTTTTTAAGAAGTGATCACATTGCTGAATCGATGGCGCCGAAGTTGCTGTGTACCTGCCACTGAATTACGTTTACAATTCGTTCTTTGCGTGGTATTTATTGCAATATTCATTGTGAGTCATCACTGATAATAAAGTTAAAGATAATTTGTGAGTGATCACTTTGAAAATTTTTTCTTGAAAAATAACATTGATCGTCCGAATGTCTTCTAAGTTCACCGAAAATGGAGGCTCTTCCCATTTGGCATCATCTGATTTTGTTGTGCAATTTGATGAAAATGGTTCTTGTGAGTTTCCACTCATTTATTTTAATTTTTTATGCACTATTTGAAGTTATTTGAGTGTAGGTGTCCTTGCTGCAGATAATTTAGCATGGTATTTTAGTAAATCTAGTATTAGTCAATGAATTTGTTGATTATAATTTCAAAGAGTAAGTTATTGAGTACAGTGTCTATTGTAGTTTTGAAATACACAGTAAAACTGGCATTTTATTATTTGTGCTATGCTTCAAAATGCCTACTTGTTGTAGATTAGGTACATACTAATACTAATACTAATTCCTCTGTGCTCTGACTCAGTTGTATTCTGGAAAATTAGGCAGAAGCCCCCTTGTGAATGAGATGAAAAATACTGGCAGGTAATTTTATGTTTTCTGGGTCCATGCCTAATTTCTTTATAAAAAATAGAAGTTGTGCATTTTTGCAAGCAATTTTAGAAAATTAATCATAAAACATTACTCTTTAGGTACAATTTTTAACAAATTTTATCTAATATTCAAGATTAGACTTCGAAATGGAAAATTGGGCAAAGATATCCATGAATAAGCCAGGGTGCAGAGGGTGCAAGCAGCATTGCCCAGGGTGCAGAGTTAGCAAGCTGCATTGCCAAGTTGGCAAGCCTCAAAATGTTGCTAGCCATTTACAAGATGCCTTGCCAAGTAATTTTTAATAAGAAAAAGCTGCTGACAACTTTGAAAGTATATTCCCTACGCTCCACCAGGCTGGAATTCTAAAATTCATGGTTCGCATAAAAAAAGCATTCTGCCTTAAAAAAACGTTCCAGGCAACTAGAAACAGGTTTGCAGGCCCGAGGCCATCAGAAATTGGCTTCGGGTATGGTAGCTATGATCGTATGAACGTCAAGCCAGGCAACACAGAGGAGGTCCCATGCAAGATTGTTGATTGCACACGTCACTCACAGATGAGCAAGAGGGATGGATCTACAGAAGGAAATACTATTTACTCCCAACATAATAGTTTCAAATTAAATATAAAAAAAGATCTATGGCATCTATTTGTTACCTCAGCTTTCAAATTGAGAAGAAACTCATTGGCAGTTGGAGAAACTTCTTGAAGAAAAGGCAATGCACAACAAACAACATGACACTTCACAGTTGACTGACTAGAATAGGCTCAATAGTCAATAGAGTACTCGAAAGTCAAAAATTTAGCATTCAAACCTTTAGATTCTGTGAACCTTGTGATTTATTCATTATTAAAACTTTAGAAGGCTCACAATATATCACGCAAGTTTTCACTCGATTATCGTCTTGAAGTTTGGGAGCTTTATCTTCGGTAATGTTCTGTAGTTACCTACCCCACCAATTGCGTAATGAGAACTAACCACTAACCATCATTAGATTCCCGCCACTGTTGCACACGATTGATTCTGCATGCATGTATAAGTATAATATTTACGGAGGTTATTAAACCATTGTGATTTCTGTTGAATGTCAGTTACTGATACATTTTTAATATAGAAGAATTCGTATCTTTCATTTTTTCACATGACTATATTGATGTCAGTTTCACATTGGTTGCCGGTGCAGTTGGTATCCCTGCTACCTTCTTTGTTTACATTTTTCGATTGGCTGATTGCAACGAAAGGATATTGCATGTCTCAGCTGATTGCATTGGTGGTCAGTTTTGTATGTGTGGATTGAATCATAGGCAGTTTTTCATGTATTTGTGAGTGAGTGTACATAGTGAAGATGTTATTCTTTGCGATTCCATCAATAATGACATAACTACACTATTGTATTATGCTCTTGAAATAAGAATTGTAGCAGTATGCATCAAGTTAGCATCAGTGTGTTAACATTGTGTGCATTTGAGGCAGTCCCTTCTAGCTTTCTATTGCTGATTAGATTCCAGTGGCTGTGACGTTGCACACGTTCTAGCAATGATTGGATCCCTGTGACAGTACGTTGGACACGTTAAAGCGTTGATTGGATTCTTGTGACTGCTATGTTGGACGCATTCAAGCGTTGATTGGATTCTTGTTACTGTGATGATGCAAGCGCTGTTTTTTTTTTTCAATGAAACAGCTGTGGCATCTTGCAGACTCATCAGTAATGATGATGGACTGAAAGTGGAAATGTACTGGATGTTCCTGATTGTTGGGACCTGCTTTCCAATTTGCTATGTTTACCAATTAATATATTACCCCTCTGGAATTCCACACTGCTCTCCACACACTGCAACACTTACCATACACAGTTACAACTTACACTCATTGCAACTGATTTCCAGATAAGCTTCACTGCCTTCTGATCCATCCAACATACCGGAAACACTACTGTCTACTGTGTGCGCTTGCAGTCTTTCAGATTTTTTAACTATTTTCTAAATAGTTGTCCAAAGACTGGCGAATATCTGAAATGCAAAAATTTAAATTCAAATGTTTCAGCAAGATCTGAAGGCATAAATTTTGCTGCTTGCCAAAGATCTTGCAATATTCACCCACTTTCTGCACCCTGGAGCCTTGCCAAGATATGGATTTTTAGCCCAAAGCGTTACCAGTCATTTCCAAGATCTGTTGCCGGGTAATTTTTAAGTAGAAAGTGCTGCAAGCAACTTTGATAGTATATCCCTAACTCTCCACGCTCCGCAGCACTTTCACACATTGCAACTGATTTCCGGACAAGCTTCACTGCTTCCTGATCCATCTGATGCCATGGTCAGGAAGATGTGCCAGGTGCACAGGAATTTATGTTGGCATTTTATCAATCTGCGCCATAATATTATGGTAAAAAAATGCGCCATGCACCGTGCTGCTAAATGTTCAAAGATGAATGCACGGCAGCTCCATCACACACAAACATATCTGCATCAAGTTGTTTAGATTTCTATCGTAATAACCCAGGTTCTAAGAGTTGGCACAGTTATGAATATTTATTCATTCATAGATCTCAATTTGGTTGGACATGAATTACAGAACTGGAGAATAGAAGGCAACAATCGACATGGCTTGAGATCAGTGCCTTCTAATGAAAGACTGGTTTTGGCAAATAGTTCAAACCCATATGTCAATGTCGGGAATACGTTATGTTCCTGACAACCGCCTGGCCAGTAAAATGGGTTTGCATGGCACAAACCCATTGAATAAAAAAATACAGGCACCGAAAATGTTTGTTTTCATTATCAGTTCTCATTTTCTGCAACATTGAAGGTCAATTTTATAGATGAACTCAACTCCAGGATGGGAAATTGCCTGCGTGTGGATGTCAGTAAATAAAATATGAATGGTTTCAAGGGGACACATCATATGATAGCGATGACACATGACAATGTACTATCAGTGTTGCATAAAAGTCTGCAAAGATGATGGTGCCATACCATTATTTTGGGAATTTCTGATGACAGCTGTCTAGACATATTTTATATAGACATATAAAACTATTTTCCATTAATTAGAATGATGAAATAATTTTCGACTCCTTTCATTAAAGAGTTAATGAAAGGAGTCAGTCAACCTCTAATAACCCCATCAGTGCACTATTGGAATATATAGAACAAGCAAAATCTGTCATCTAACACTAATATTTGATTACTTCATTTGCCCAATTTCTGAGGACTTGGTTCTTACCTAGATACAGTCTACGGGATGTAAACAAACAATGTCAGATGTTGCCATAAGAAATTTGTATATAATTTGTTCTAAATTAAATTTCTATATTTGTACTTTCATAAAATTTTTATATCAAGGTAAATCATAGATTATTTACGGATAATTAAACGCTCATTAGTATTATACGTTTTCTGTCTCCTGTCCCCTGACAAAATGTATCTGTGCGCCGTGTGGACTCTCGTGCGTGTGAGCCGACTGTGTGCAGCAATGGCTTAAAAAAGTCATTATGTGTGAGAAAATTCCCCCTAAACATACATCATCCTGACTCCTGAGTGTGGATCTGGCATACTGGAAACCTTAATGTGTGCTCTTGTGGTCTTTCAGATTTGCAGTAATTTTGAAGTAATTTCTAAAATGCAATAATTTCAATCCAAATGTGTCAGCAAGATATTCAGAAGGCATCAATTTTGCTGCTGATGTGTCACCAAATATCTTTTGATATTCACCCACTTTCTGCACCCTGATGAAAAAGATGAAAAATACCAGTGAATTTAGCTTTCCTATGGCTTCTTTAAAATTTATTCAGTGAGAAAATGTGAAAAAGACCAATATATATCCACAATTGAAAAAATCACCCCTGAACCAATTATTTTTACCCATGATTTTATGATACTTCTGCCTGATACTCCAAATTGGATAAGACTTGGGCTAACTCAACTCCAGGATGGGAAATTTCCTGCTTACTCAATGCGCTGAAATCTCGTAGTTCCAAATCATGGTGAAATTCCAGGATCTGGACAGGTACTTAGCTCCACTGCCATGACCGGAGTGCTTCACACTTGACAGGGGGTAGGAGGTTTGGGTGCAACTCAAACTTGAAGCTGAGAATCCAAATTTCATGGCAAGCTACTGCTCTAAGTCTTGCTGTAACATGATTGCAAAAAAAATGTTAGTGCTGAAGTGAGACTGAAAGCTAAAAAATTCTGCTAATTGCTATCCCAGTGCTGGGAATCTATTTCACTGCGCATCTTGCTTTTGCAGTGGCATTCTGTGTGATTTTTGGCAACTTTTGGATATCTGGTGCCTATTATTCTACTTCTATAATCCTTACCAATAGGTACCAAAAAAAAATAATTTTAATTATATAT